TTTACTTCAACTCTTGCCAAGTTTAACAAGGCATTTACAAATGTTATTTGCTGTAATTCAATCTCTGACATTCTTGCAATTGCACACCAAAGCATACAACAATAGTGGATGCCACCCAGCAATACACCACTACATGTTTGACATAAACATAGCTGTGAACGTTGATATACTAAGGTTATGAAACCTTACTAAGTTGTTTGTATAGTGCTGCAAGTGTAAGTACCCGGTAGCATGTTAATAAACTTAATTGTCAGGATAATTGCTTTGTTCAAAAATAAAATCAGTTAATTCTACAAGTATGAATTGACATGTTGATTTTTGTCTTGATCACTTCCCCCCACCCTCAAAACTAGGAAAGATGTCAGTTGTTCACAAGATATAGTCCATGGAATCTTTGGTTTGTTTATGAAAGCTATACACAACTTCTTTGGAGAGAGGAAACTTATTACTGTAGCTTTCTTGTAATAAGATGCTGGTGTACAAATTATGAAATACTACACATGAGCAATGCACACATGATAAATGTTTTTCTTATCTTACATTAAAAATACTATTAAAGTAAAATACCAAAGCATCATGCACTTGAACACATGATAGCTATCTGGTAATCCTAAACTGAAGCTGCTTGAACTCCAGTCCACTTAAACAGCAGTGTTTAAAGATATTATTTCTAATAATAGTTTTTAGGTCTAATGGATGCATGAGGAATACAATGGTTTGGATCAATTATGAGAATTTATTCTGTCTTGGAAGAACAAATGACGTTATCAATCATGCTTTGTAGGATTGAACTGAGACACAGAAGAGGTGACAATCCTTGAATCAGCAGTAGGACTTCCTTAGTTCTTTCTAAGTATTCAGTTTGGTCTTGATAAACAAAAACTACTGTGTAACCTTGTTTCACCCACTTCTAAATATCTGCTGTAAAAAAAGAACTTTTAGATCCTCTCAGACTGATTTTGGTATCTTTATTTCTTAATACATTTCCTTTGCATTGTTAGAGCATTGCATTTTGTTTACCCACCTCTAAATATCTGCTTGTGAAAAGAGAACTTTTAGATCCTCTCAGACCATTTTTTTTTCTTTTTATTAAGTCATATACACATAGATCATGAATACATTTATGCATTTGTGGGGTACAATGTGTTGACTTTTTATACAATTTGGAGTGCTTGCATCAAACTAATCAACATAGCTTTCACCTCATTTACTTAATTATGTTAAGACATTTATGTTCTATTCTTCATAGATTTGACTTGTACCCTTGCAATATGCTCCATTGGTGTGGTCCCATGGTTTACCCTCCCTCTATCAGTCCTCCCCACTCCTATCCCCTTCCTCCTCTCTCCTTCTTTCTTTCTTTCTTTTTTTTTTTTTTTTTTTTAGACGGAGCCTCAAGCTATCCCCCTGGGTAGAGTGCCATGGCATCACAGCTCATAGCAACCTCCAACTCCTGGGCTCAAGCGAGTCTCCTGCCTCAGTCTCCCAAGGAACCACAGGCGCCCGCCACAATGCCTGGCCATTTTTTAGTTGCAGCCATCATTGTTGTTTGGCGGGCCTGGGCTGGGGATTCGAACCCACCACCTTAGGTGTATGTGGCTGGCCTTAGCCGCTTGAGCCACAGGCACCGAGCCTTCTTTATTTCTTAATACATTTGCTTTGCACAGTTAGAGCATTGCATTACTGGGCATTTTTTGTATCACTGTGTGATCCAGAATGTATAGCTAAAATTAAATTGCCATAAAATGGATTAGAGTCAAGTGGCTGCCTTGGATGACTAAGAAATGTCCAGATAGGACATTTTCTAGGATAAGGCTGGCCTTTAAGATAATTACATTCACTATTTCAGAAAAACATTAGTGAGGAATCATCTTATTATTCACAAAGAGCAACCGACCTGACTAGATGCAATTATCATTGGAAATCTTCATTTTTAAATGAACATCCTTTACTTAAAGTTAAAAGCTATATAATACATTGGAACCACCTCTTCTGGGAGATAGGATTTGGGGGTATATACACAGTGAACAATTCATTTTGTTACACATTTTTAGGTGCTGTGATATTAATATATATAATTCATTGAGGAAATACAACTGAAGGACTGCAAAATTTACAATCAGAAATTTGATGTTAGAATATATATATTGCCCTTGATTCATGAAATTAAGATTGTGGATAGCCTGATATCTTATTTCTAGATCTGAAATTTCATCTGGCTTCAATAGATTCATTACAGGCAATGTATAAATATGAATGATACGAATTTATTGATATGGAAAACTTGAAAATTTACCCAAAGCATATTGGTAAGAATATACTATATCTGTTGAATACCTTACAAAAAGTTCCCTAAACAAAAGACTCTAAATTTCGTCTGTACATTGTATAATCTGATATTTAATGATATTTCCACTATGTTGAAAATTCAACTACTAGTAATATGCTTCATGAAGAAATTTAAAGATGAATAAACTGATAGGTAAACTGAAATAAGAATGTCAGCTCACCAGCGTCATGTAACTGCATTGTTTTAAGTCTAATGCAGGAAATAAATAAAGAATACCATAAACAATGCCAATTGGTCTTGAAATGGCTTTGGCAATTCTTCTATTATAATATTATTATTTTTGTACACTTTTATTTATTGATTTATCTTTGTCTGGGGCAAGGTATAAACCTGCAGCGCTGCCGGACTGGACAAAGCAAAAACCAAGCGGAGGGGAGGTCTCGCCTTGGATCCTCAGGTATCCCAGGGGAATCAGCTACCTGTTCCACATCTGTCCTTGGGTCAACCCACTTCTGCCATCAAGAGGTACACCACGCTCAACCACAACAGGCTCCACATCATTTAGGAAAAGAGGAGGGCACATGTCTTAGTCAGTAGCAAAGATCCACATACCATGGGCTTTAAGGGGCCATTATGAGAGGCGGAAGAATACACACAAGTCACACTAGGTCTCGCCCTTAGTGTGGCAAAGGCACGAGAAGGGGCTGGGGTGACCCTTGGCCTAGACTGGTAGGCTAAATTCCAGGAAGATCCAGGGAGAAACGACAAGGGTCCACTGACAGGTCCCAGCAAAGTTTGCTCCTAGTCAGTGGGCTGGACAAAGGACGCAGCCCTCCTGGTCTGGCCCAAGCCCAAACAGCCTTTGGGGTAGGGTCCTCTGGGACCCTGCAAGAGCTGGGGTCCCAAGGGGAACCGCATCTGGCCCCTAGAGCGCATCCGTCCTGGGGATCCCCGAAGGGAATGACAGTGCGGCTCAGCAGCTGCCCCCACCCCGAGAAGTGCTCGAAGCTTTGGGGACTGACCCCTGTACTCAGCCACCAGCCCGTCTCACAGACAAAGTCCCTAGAGACAAAGGTCCTCTCCTTTGGGCCCGCACCGCCCAGCAGTGGCTGTCAACCAGGATGCACTAGGTGGAAAGTGGTGTCCCTCCTGCCCCCCCCCAGCGCCTCCTGGATATCGCTGTGGTGAGCTCCTCCGCGTCCAGCTGCACGTATGCGGGCAGGGAAGGTGTTGCCTTGGCTTGGGTCCTAGTGGGTGACACCCTGAATTGTCCGAAGAGAGGTGATGCATCCAAAAATCCCATACACCGGAGCCATTGAGCTGAGGCCCGGCCTAGGCGAAGGCTCTTCTTTTGCAAGAGGCAGCCGCGCATTTGGGGCTCTGGGGGTCTGGGACGGGCGATGGTCTCTTGAGCTGGAGACCTGGAGGCCCTGGAGGGCCTCTCGGGCTGGGCGGGGCCCCAAACAGGACTGTGTGCTCCCCAGGGAGCACCCGAAGCTCCCCCTGTGGGCTGGCCCACAGGGGTGCCCCCATCCCCCCCGCCCCCGGGCAGGCCACGCGGGCGGCTCCTTGCTGAGCTCGCGCTCCCCCGCTTTGTGTATTTCAGGGAGCTGTTCTGCCCAGGTTGGCCCTCCGGCTGGAAACATGGCAGGTGAGTGGATGGCCTGGGGCGTCCGCCCTGTCCAGCGGGGCATGGGTGTGGGGGGCCGAGGTTCAGCCTGATGGCAAAGAGCGCCTCCCGCCGGAAAGCCCATGGGGAAGTGGAACGCGGACTCCCTCTTCTGGGGGAAGCTCCCTGGGAACCGGGACGCCCCCGCAGGGCAGGGCGCATGTCCTTGTCAGTGGCGTGGGTCCGGGTCACCCAGGGCCCCAAGGGGCCCTTGTCGGAGGCCGAGGGCCACGCACAGGTCAGTGTAGGTCTCGCCCCTCGGGCGGCCGGGGCGCGAGATGGGGCTGGGGCGTCCCGAGGCCGGGAGTGGCCGGCTGAATGCCGGGCAGCTCCAGGTGGGAACGCTCAGGGTCCACTGACAGGTCCCGGCGAAGTTGGCCAGGGTTGGCCGGGAGGCCAGAGGCCACCTCCAG